TATCAAATAATAGGTCAGATTTATTCTTTTGAACATTTTTAGTAAAGTATTTTAAATTATGTTTTTTTTTAAGACATAATGCTATTGCACACCAACTTTTATGTGCACTGGGAAACCAGAAAATTTGTTTGATTCGCTTTATTGAAACATTTGCTTTATTACAGTGGTTTGGAATCAAACCTATAATATTTCCAAAGTATGCCAGTATCTTTTCTCCTCTAACTACACACACACACACACACACACACACACACACACACACACACACACGTATAGAGAGAGAGAGAGAGACTTGCTCTGTCGCCAAGGCTGGAGTGCAGTGGCTCGATCTCAGCTCCCCGCAACCAGCACTTCCCAGGTTCAAGCGATCCTCCTATCTCAGGCCCCCAAATAGCTGGGATTACAGGCATGCACCACCACACCCGGCTAATTTTTAGTGTTTTTAGTAGAGGTGGGGTTCCTCCATGTTGGCCAGGCTGGTCTTGAGCTCCTGACATCAAGTGATCTGACTGCCTCAGACTCCAAAAGTGCTGGGATTACAGGCATGAGTCACTATAACTGGCCATCCTTTAACCATCTTTTCTTGATTTTTGCCTTTCCCAAATCCAGGTCTCATATTCAAAACAACAAAATTGTTAAGATGTTTTCATATCTAAACAACATTTGGGTGTTCTAAAGTAACCACCAGCTAACACAATGGTTTGCTCCTATACTACCTATGAAAGGAATGACAAAAGGAATAATTCGGTTTGTATAGAATATTGTGCATTATAGTCATAACTGCTATAAGAACTCTCAAATCAGGGTGGTGTGCAGGTTAGGGCAGAGTTTTGGGAGAGGTGAATTGTTCTGTACAAAAAGGAGAAGAATCATAATGCTGCGGGGAGGGGAGGGACCTGGGAGAGGGGAGTGAGCAGCCAGCAGGGCGGGGCACCACCTGAATGAAGGACAGAAGGTGAGAGCCCTTAGGGGCACAGCAGCACAAAAGACTTTGGGAGAAAAGGAATTAATGAGAGGCAATTTTAAGTTGTTTGCCATGGTGTGTGCTATGGGTCTCCTTCCCTCCTGTCATCCTTACACTGTCTTTAGAAAAGTCATTTTTTGTGTGTGAAAGGGGATTCTCCTGGAAGTATTGAAGGATGCAGGGATGAACTGTTGGTTTGTTTCTGAGATGGAGTCTTGCTCTGTCACTCAGGCTGGAGTACAGTGGTGTGATCTCAGCTCACTGCAACCTTCACCTCTTGGGTTCAAGTGATTCTCATGCTCCAGCCCCCTGAGTAGCTGGGGTTACAGGCATGTGCCACCAGGCCTGGCTAATTTTCATATTTTTAGTAGAGACAGGGTTTCACCATGTTGGCCAGGGTGGTCTCAAACTCCTGACCTCAAGTGATCTGCTCACCTCAGCCTCCCAAACTGCTGGGATTATAGGCGTGAGCCACTGCACCTGGCCTGCAAGGATGAATTGTATGTGCGTGTTGATGCAAGGCAAAAACACATCATGAAGGGAAGCTGGAATGGAAATCTCCAGGGTAAATTCCTGGAAATGAGAAAGACTTTCAAAAGCTGTGGAATTGAGGGGGTGTCAAGCTGAGATCTCAAGGGGTAATGGACCCAATTAATGCCTAGGTTCTAGGTGGGAGAAACAGGAAGTAGCATAAGGGATATATCTGACATGATGAAAAGATGGAGTTGGAGAATAGGAAGGCCCAGAGAAGGATGGGGAGATTTAGAAGGAGCTAGAGGGTTAAGGGTCTTCTGGACTAAATAGTGGGGGTAGGGGAGACTATGAGGTCACCTGGCACTCTTTGTCCTTCCCATGCCCACCCTAGAGAAACTGAAGCCCAGACGCCAGCAGAGATTAAATCTTTTTTTTTTTCGTCTCTCTTCCTACTTTTCTAAATGAATTATTACGTTAGCCCAGAGAGACAACTAAGATGGGAACTCTCAGGAAAGAAGACAGCATCATCTTTATGGACAGGGAGAGGTTAGGGTTGAGACTAGGGCTTCTACTCAACACTCACAGACCATCTATCTGGATGTGGTAGAGGGGTTCAGGGAAAATTCCCAGCCAGGGATTGAATTATTAAGAGTTCAGAATAACCGAGGGGAAGCAGAGTCTTCACCCTGTTCATCAGTCCTTTCCATTTAGTTGTGCTGGCCAAGCCTTTCTTTCATTTTAGGGCTGATCTGAATAGCAACACTGAGCCTCTGAAAGCTTCCAGTCGGAGGCTGGAGCCCTAGTGCTGTCCTTGTGGAGCTGAATCCCATCTCATGGAGCAAACCCTATTGGAGATTTTGTCCCCTTCCTCAAGAGAGGAATACACAGATAACCCTTCTCTATGGTTTTCAAAAGAAAAAATAGAAAAACGCTTTTACCTACGTTACAAATGAATAAAAAGGAAGTAACATAAAGCTCCGCTCCTGCAGTGGAGAAACACTATCCATGAGCATGGTCTACCTAGAGAGGAGAGACAGCACTGGACCTCAGCCCTCCTTCCTTTCTTGTCTTTCAGCATCAATGCAGAGAGAAGAGGAGCAGCAAAGAGGGTGCATTTCCAGGAAAGCGTCTTAGTCCGTTTGGGCTGCAATAACAGAATACCATAGGCCCATAGACTAAGTGGCTGAAATTGATCTCTCGCAGTTCTGAAGGGTGGGAAGGTCAAAATCAGGGCACTGGCAGATTCAGTATCTGGTGAGGCCCACTATGTCCTCCCATAGTAAAACAGACAACGGGGTTCTCAAGGGTCTCTTTTATTAGGCCACTAATCCCATTCATGAAGGCTCCTCCCCCACAATCTACTCACCTCCCAAAGGCCCCACTTCCTAATACTGTTGGACCAGGGATTAGGATTTCAACACATGAACTGGGAGGATATAAACATTCAGTCAATAGTAGAAGGTTCTGCCTGTTCAGCCTAGAACTCTCAAGATCTAACCTTAATCTCTCCTTTCGCATGAGGACCCCGGTCTACAGCCTCTAAGGCTGTGTTAGCTGCTAGAGCTCACTACTCTCAGAAGACAAAGCCCCCAGCAGGGACACTCAAAAAAAGGAATCTGAATCTGGAATACTTAGCTGATTGCCTGCTCTGTCCATCCCCTGAAATGAAAGAATGATAGAGACGGCCCATGGGCCTCACCCACTAGATGGCGCTGTGCGATGCAGTGGGAAGAGTAGCTAGAGGTGAACCTTTAAGGTTCTGATTTTGGACAAATCATTTAACTTCCCTGAGGCTCAGATTCCACCTTGAGATACACTTGGCCTGTATCCCCTACAGCACAGGTATGTAGATCACACGGGATAATGTGTAAGAAAGCACTTTTAAGTATAACACGTGGTGACATACTTGAGCTTGTGGACTGTTGTCACTGACCACTCCACTCTGTACCAGCGGCTGGGGCTGTCAGAATCTAGTGTCCCAGGACCTTCCCCAGTCTTCTCTATGAACCCTTTTCTCCTACCTTCACCACATGTGACCGAGTCCCCTGGTTTCCCAGCTGGGAGAGATTGCCAGAAAGGAGCTTATGTTGACACTGGACTTGCTTGCTCTTTGGAAAAGCAGGTATTGATTAATCTCTTCGCCTTTCCTGTACCCTTTTTCCTAGCATGGCCTGTGTGACTCCAGGGCCCTAGTGCTGCTGGGGTTGGCATGGGAGGGGAATCCCACAGGAAGGGAATGTGAAAGAAAGCCCCAGCATGAGGAACAAGGGAAGTGCCACAATGCCCATGATGTGGGAGAATGTAACTCCCACCAGGCCTGCTGGGCCTTCTACCTATCCCCATTCTGCTTTTTTGTGTTTTTTTTTTTTTTTGAGATGGAGTCTTGCTCTGTCACCCAGGCTGGTGTGCAGTGGTGCAATCTCACCTCACTGCAACCTCCACCTCCTGGGTTCAAGCGACTCTCCTGCCTCAGCCTCCTGAGTAGCTGGGATTACAGGCACCTGCCATCACACCTAGCTAATTTTTGTCTTTTTTGTAGAGACAGGGTCACCATGTTTGCCAGGCTGGTCTCGAACTCCTGACCTCAAGCAATCCTTCTCCCTTGGCCTCCTAAAGTGCTGAGATTACAGGTGTGAGCCATCGTGCCCAGCCTCCATTCTGCTTCTGGCTGAAGCTTGTATCTCCTGACTTTTGCAGCCATCTGGGCAGGCTTCCTGATGACGGCAGCTTGCAGCAAGATGATTCCTGCTGGGAGGGTCAAGTAGACTGACCATAGAAGCTGAACTTCTGCTGTTTATGGGGGTTGGGGAAGACGCTACTCCTTCCGGTTCCCCTTTAACTTCCACAGCTCCTCTGCCTGGGCCCTCTCTCCCTCAGACGCCTGTCTCTAGCCGACTCTGCCAGCAGGTGTTAAGACGGTAGCTTGTCTTCCTCAGCCCTGATATCCAGGAGCTCTAGAGATACAAGTCACAAAGAGAGTGCATTTCTAGGTTAAGGGAGAGAGAAATGCAAGAGGGATTTTTCCCAAACAATGGGAAAAATCAACTGAAATCTTCTGGGTCTACTTTACAGTCAATGTCTTGCTGACGTGCAAAACACCACAGGCTCCCAACCCTTGTGGAATACTGAAGACAAATCAGTCTGGACACTTCTCAGCAGTTCCCAGATCCCAAAACCTGGCAGAACCATTTGCAACATGAATAGAGCCAGCTCTTCTGGGGTCTGCCCTCTGCACAGCGAGTTCCTGGAGGTTACAGTCCTGGTCTCTGGTAGTTGATCCCCACTAGATTTTCCATTTGTCTTATTCAGTGCTCTCCTAATGGCCCCCAGCCTAATTTAGGCTGAAGAATCTGCATTGCATCCCCCGCCCCTGTCCCAATCCCAGCCCCACCTCAGGCCCACCTTCAATCCTCTCTCCCATTCTAACTCTCACCCCAGATTAGGGCCTGTGGGGTATCTTTCCCTAGAGCCCAGGAAGAGGTACAGTCTCTCATCCCAAGGGAAATTCAATACCTGAATTGGCACTTGTTGCAAAAGCAACTAGAATATTTGTGGCATTTACCTTTTTTTTTTTTTTTTGGTCCAAAGATCTCAGGAAACCTCGAATCCTTCGGCTCTCAACATTCCTCAGGATAGCGTGGCCTCTCAGACCTGAGCACCCATCTCCATCCTTGCTGGAGAATGTCCCGTCAGCAGCAGGATCTGGGGGCAATAGGAGCACCACCATTGAAAAAGCGTCATCCAACACCAGCCCCACCTGGCACAGATACAGCCTGAGAACAAATTCTCATTCAAAGGGCAAGCATGGACACATACAGTCCTCTGTGGTAAGGGTCAAAGCAGCAAGGAAAGATCTAAGAAAGATGGCACCAAGGTGACTGGAAGCTTCCTGTGAGAGGCCCAGCAAAGTTCCAGTAGGGAATGACAGGCACAGTATGGAGCCCAACTTGAGGAAGGATAAAAAGGAAAAAAAAATCTATTCTGGTGCTTAAAAAGCTACCCCATGAGGAGCCTAAGGTCCAACTCTGAGGAGACAAGAAATAGCTTGAAGTGTCACTAAAGGAATGACTTATCTGGGGTCCAAAAGAGAACCTAGACCAGAGCCATTCACTTGGACAAGAAGTTGGACGAATGTCCCAGGCTGGAGACCATTGGCATGGTTCATGACTCTTGCCAACTATATACCGCCCCCTTCTGGGAAGTCCTGTATCTTCCTGGAAACTGAAACCTTGCCACCCTCAGTGAATCAGAATACTGCCTGAATACCTCTTGGAAGCTTTCCTTTCTTGATTCAAGTGCTACATAGGCACTAGAAGCCCAGGTGGTATGGTTTTGAGTGTGGCAGAGGTAGAGGTATAGCTTACCTCTCAAGGTGGTTGAATCCATAAAACTTAAGGTGACAGAGGCCCAATCATGGCTCTTCCCAAGTCCACCTTTCTCCCTCAGCCACCCATGCTTCCATGATGGCTAAGCTGAGGTTGCTTAGATCCTTGAAATAAACCGTTAGATAAGTTGAAGCCAGCAGACAAGAGAATCACAAAAAAATTCAGTCCTCACCCCAGAGATTCCTTCCCTGCTCCCTCAGCTATAAGCAGGAAGTCCAGAAGGCCCTGAGATTTGGTCACAGAGGACTGTGAGTCCAAGAAGGAAAGCAGGCAAACTTTTAAGCTCCTCTTACCATCTTCATGGACAAAGCGTGTCAGAGTGAGACTGTAAGGGGGACAAGAGAGGCAGTCCAAAATCACTTCAAGTCAGACAATGGCAGGACATACCCAATGGATGAGAGGGGAGTTATGTCCCAACAGACTCTGGCCATAGAGGAGCAGTACCTAGAGGCAGAGGACAGAGGGCAGAGGGTCTGAAGCGGCTCAGCACAGGGGAGAGCATCTTCTCAGAGTTTTCACTTTAGGAAAAAGATGTTGGGAGATTTAGGGATTCCTTCAAGAGCCACGATGTCGAGGAGATAGGAAGTCCAAGGAGACTCCAACTACTAAGCCACACCCAGAAGATGTCCTGAAAGCCAGTGAGCCAGGAGATGTCCAGAAGCTAAATGGCCATCTGAGTGGTCAAGGGCTCCAGTGACCAAGAAATGCCCCCCGTCACCAACAGTACTGGTGCCCAAGATCTGGAATGTCTAAGCCTTAAAGATTAGTTGAGGCTCAAACTGGAGGTAAAACTGCCAAGCCAGCCTCAGGTTTCCCAATGACGTGCCCCTTGCCTCAAATAGCCTAGCTACTCCATTTCCTTTTTGAGTGAGTTTTGATAGTTTGTGTCTTTCAAGGAATTGGTCTATTTCATCTAAGATATTCAATTTATGAGCATAGAGTTGTGTGTAGTATTCCCTTAATATCTTTTTAGTATCTGTAAGGCCTATAGTAATGTCATCTTTTTCATTCCTGATATATTAGGAATCTGTCTTCTTTTTTTTCTTGGCCAATCGGGCTAGAAGTTTATCAATTTTATTAATCCTTTTAAATAACCAGGTTTTTGTTCACTAATATTCCTCTGTTGTTCCGTTTTCAATTTCATTGAGTTCTGCTACAATAAATCATTTAATTTCTGTTTTGTAACTTTTCTCTGGATGCTTTCAAAATAGTTTTCACTACCTCTCATTTCCAGTAGATTAATGATGATGTGTCTGGACATTGTTTTCTTTGAATTTATCCTATTTCAGATTTGTGGAGTTTCTTCTTTTTCTCTTTTCGTTTTTTTTGTTTGTTTGTTTTTAGACAGGGCCTTGCTCTTTCACCTAGGTTGGAGTGCAGTGTGCGATGGTGCAATCATGGCTCACTACAGTCTCAACCTCCCAGGCTCAAGTAATCCTTTCACCTCAGCCTCCCAAGTAGCTGAGACATGCCACCAGTCCTGGCTTTTTTGTTTTCTTTTTCTTTTTTTTTTTTTAAGAGACCGGAATCTCCCTATGTTGGCCAGACTGGTCTCAAACTCCTGGGCTCAAGTGATCCCCCACCCTTGTTCTCCAAAGTGCTGGTATTATAGGTGTGTGCCTGGCCTTGCTGATTTCTTAAATCTATGTATCTTTCACCAAATTTGGGGAGTGTTTAGCCATTATTTCATCAATTTTTATTTTTGCCATCTTTTTCACCTCTCCTTCAGGAATACAATGGCATGCATATGCATGACCTTTAATATTGTCCCATAAATTCTTGATGCTCTGTTCATTTTTTAAGTGTTTTTCCTCTGTGTTCTTCAGATTGGATCATTTCAATTTACCTATTGCAAGTTCACTGACTCACTAACTCTCTTCTCTGTCACTTTCACTTTGATATGGAGCCCATTAAACTGAATTTTTATTTTAGATATTGTAGTGTTTAATCCTAAAATTCCATAGGGTTTTTTTTTTTTTGTAGTTTCTATTTCTCTCCTGAGAACTTCTATCTTTCCATTCATTTCAGGAGTGTTCACCTTTAGTTCTTATAGGACAACTATAACAACTGCTTTAAAGTCTTTGATAATTCCAACATCTGAGTCATCTTGGGATTGGCATCTATTGGTTGTCTTTTCCATTGATAATAAATTTTCCTAGTACTTTTTTGAGTGATTTTGGATTATAGCTTAGACATTTTGAATACATCATATGTCATTTAATGACAGACATATGTTCTGAGAAATGCATCACCACTTTTGTCATTGTGCAAACACCATAGAGTGTACTTACACAAAACCAGATGGTATAGCATACTACACATCTAGGCTACATGGTATATCTTATTGCTCCTAGGCTACAAACCTGTACAGCATGTTACTGTACTGAATACTGCATGCAATTGTAACACAGTGGTATTTGTGTACCTAAATATATCTAAACAGGAAAAGAAACAGTAAAACTATGATATTAGGATCTCAAGGGACCACTGTTGTATATGCAGCCCATTTTTGACCAAAACATTGTTATATGGTACATGACTGTATTATGCTGTGAGACGCTGGATCCTATTAAAGTCCTCTGGAGAACACTGATTTTTTTTTTAACCTAACAATTTTTCCCAGTTAGGTTTAGACCACAAATTATGACTCACTTTCTGTGGGCAAAGGTTCCAAAGTCAGTTCAGTTTTCAAAGCCATCCCCTGTCTCAGCCTCCCATTTAACATCACTTGCTTTCCCTTGGCTCATTAGTTTTAATCATTAATTATTTATGTCATCCTACTGTATTTTTAAGGTATTTTCATACGTGACCTTGTATCTTGGCAAAGATCAGATATTAGGCAAAAAACTAAGAAATACAAATCTCCAGCTCCAGTATGATGAGGAAGTCCCTGCCTTGAGGTCCCTGAGTGCCCTGGATGCCTTTCCTATCCCCTCTTGGACTCAGATCCTGCCTTGGTTCTTCCAGTTCTCTCATATTTCAACTCCTCCCCTAATCCCAGCAGAACCTGAACTCCCAAGTCCGTTGGCAACTCTACTGCACCTCCAACACAGGCTCTGCTCCATCACCTGCCAATATTACAGCATGGCCTTTCTCCTAGGTCTGCCCACCTCTGCATCAGTAGAGCCACCTTATCCAGAGGGGCACAGCCAATCTTGGACTCCAAGCCTCCCCTTTACTGTTGACTCAAGTGACTGAGCTCGGACTTCCCATTCTGACAGTGGCAAGGTCCAGCCCTAGGTATGCGGGAAGAGCAATTCCTACCACTCACATAGCCTAGCTCACTACCTGCAAGTAGACAGTGAACCAGTGGGTGGAGCTGACGAGTGAGTGGATCTGCAGGCAGAGACTCCAGACTGGATGAACCACACAGTTTTGGCAAGCATTGGGTCAAGGAGCTCTCTGGTGGCTCAGCCCTGCCAGCAACATCATCCACATGGGCGCCTGTCTTCTGCCTGGAGGCACAGCACCTTATTCATAACCCTGTCTCTGGAAGAACAGAAAACATCAGTGCACCCTCAGGGACAAAGTTGCCTGGACTTAGCTAGTTTGCCTGTTCCAAACTGGCTCAGCTCCACAGCCAATGTATGACCCGGGTGGTTTTTGGTATTGTGATCCATGTTATGCTCTAGGAAAAAGTAAAAATGCCTCTAACCATATTTACTAAATGGAAGAGAGGGAGGATATACAGTTATCTATTTAAATATATATGTCTTATTTATTTAATTTATTTATTTATTGAGATAGAGTCTCGCTCTGTCACCCAGGCTGAAGTGCAGTGCGCGATCTCAGCTCACTGCAAACTCCGCTTCCCAGGTTCAAGCAATTCTCCCGCCTTAGCCTCCCGAGTAGCTGGGATTATAGGCATGTGCCACCACACCTGGCTATTTTTTGTATTTTTAGTAGAGATGGGGTTTCACCACGTTGGCCGGGCTGGTCTCAAACTCCTGACCTCAAGTGATCCACCCGCCTCGGCCTCCCAAAGTGCTGGGATTACAGGTGTGAGCCACTGTGTCCAGCCTAACTTATTTATTAAGATGCACTAACATATCCAATCCATTCCAGCTTGAGTTCTAGACATTTTACTTTCCTCATGTTCCACATATAAAAATAATGCATGTTTGTGATTAGACAGAAAATTCATAATGTACTGAACAGAATAAAGCAAAAAGTCCCCTTCTGCAGTGAGTCCCGAGAATCCGCCCCAAGGTATGCTTAACCATTGTTAGCATATTTTTGTTTATCCTTCTAGAAATTTTCCACAGATGTGCAAACATGGGTTTGTGTAACCTCCTCATTTTACATATATGAATGGGATAATACATACTTGCCATTTATATCCTATTCATATGTTTTCTCACATGGCTACATAAATAAATCCTTTAAAAATAAACAGTCTCTGACTTAGAAGCATGTGATATCCCAAAAATGTAACCTTTCTGTAATAACCTTTCTGGAATTCAATATAACCTTTCTGTAAATAACCTTTCTGGAACTCAAAATGAGTTTCAGAAAAATAATGTTCTAAATCGAGGAGTGGGATCAGGGGTTTTTCTGTAAAGGGCCAGATTGTATGTTCAGTTTTGCCCACCAGTCTCTGTCATGTCTTCTTCTCTGGGTTTTTTGTTTTTGTTTTGTTTTGCTTACGATCCTTTAAAAATGTAAAGACCAATCTTAGCTCTCAGGTAGTGCCAAAACAGGCTGTGGGCCAGATTTGGCCTTTGGACTATCATCTGCTGACCCCTTTTCTAAATGGTGGTTAGGGCCGCAGCTTAGCTCCCAGAAGCACAATTAATCCATAATATTACTGAGATACCAAACAAGATAATATATTTTAAATTGCATTGTAAAGTCTATACTAATATGAAGAATTATATAGTTTTTCAGAGTTCAGCATGGGATAACTTTTAAAAACAAAAGTTAACACAGAATTAAAAAATGTTTTTTATATCTTCAATTGGATGAAGAGTTAGATATATTAGTGAAAAATCTCAGAATTTTCAAGCTATCTATGAGGCAGAAGATAACATTGTATTACATCTAATCCTACTTTTTAAATTTTTATTTATTTTTTTAGATATGGGGTCTTGCTCTGTTGCCCAGACTGCAAGACAGTAGCATGATCATAGCTCACTGCAGCCTTGAACTCCTGGCCTCAAGCAATCCTCCTGCCTCAGCCTCCTGAGTAGCTGGGACTACAGGCACACACCAGCATGCTTGGCTTCCTACCCTTTTTGTCAACACAACATAAACACACATTAACTCAAATGTGATTCTTGCGGTGTGAGTTCATATGCCAAGTGCCCCCCTCCACTGAAAAACAGAGCATATCACTGAGTTTCTGCACTGCGGGCATTGAAAGTGCTCTTCTTCCATCTGGTGTTCACAGCCACATGCGCTGGCCTAAACCTTGAACCTTCTGTGAATTGCACCTGCTGGAACCTACAAAGGCAAAGAAGGGGCAGAAAGGGTAAGAATAGGGTAAATGCTGGAGAGTCATTTTATGACTTACCTAGATCAGGAAACTAAATTTTTTGTTTTTGTCTGAGATAGGGTCTTTGTCTGCGGCCCAGGCTGAAGTTCTGCACCATGATCTCAGCTCACTGTAGCCTTGACTTCCCGGTTTCAGGTGATCCTCCCACCTCAGTCCCCCCACCCCCTGAGTAGCTGGGACCACAGGCATAAGCCACCACGCCCCGTTTTTTAATTTTGTGCTTATATATATATACACATTTGTATATATATTTGTATACCCCAAAAAATTTTTTTAGAGACGGGCTTTTGCCATGTTACCCAGACTGGTTCCAAATTCCTGGCCTCAAACGATCTGCCCACTCTCAGTGGCCCAAAGTGCTAGGATTACAAGCATGAGCTGCCGTGCCGCACCAGGAAACTGATTTTTAACAACATAAACATCTCTATTATATATTTAATTGAGCTTTAAAACTTATGACTTGCCCCTTCTCCATCATAGAGGTAGGGCTTGTTTTAATAACCTCATGCTGTGACTACAATTTTATTTTCATATATATATATTTTCATATATATATAAAAAAAATTATTTATTTTTTTTTTGAGACAGAGTCTCGCTCTGTCACCCAGGCTGGAGTGCAGTGGTGTGATCTCGGCTCACTGCAAACTCCACCTCCCGGGTTCATGCCATTCTCCTGCCTCAGCCTCCCAAGTAGGCCCAGCTATTTTTTTGTATTTTTAGTAGAGATGGGGTTTCACTATGTTAGCCAGGATGATCTCGATCTCCTGACCTTGTGATCCACCTGCCTCGGCCTCCCAGAGTGAGTGCTGGGATTACAGGCGTAAGCCACTACACCCAGTCTATTTTCTTATAAATGAAATGCAGAGATTCTCCTATAATACCTGGGCTAGGATTAGAAAGAAAGTAGGAGAGAAAGGGTACTAAAAAAAAACCTGTGAGGAAGGGACTGAGCTGGTGACTGCCTGCCTGGGCAGTGAAGGTGGTCCATGGTACTGCACTTCTGTAACCCCAGAAAGGAAACCCAGATGACAGGCGGAAGATGTTTTGTGGCATCACTGAATCCTTTAGCGAGGAGCACTTTATGCTATTTCCCTTAGCAAAACATCATCTTGCTTGGTAAACACAGTCATTTTAATTTTTATGTATTTATTTATTTTGAGACAGAATCTGGCTCTGTCACCCAGGCTGGAGTGCAGTGGCATGATCTCAGCTCACTGCAACCTCCATCTCCTAAGCTCAAACAATCCTCCCACCTCAGCCTCTCGAGCCCAGCCTAAAAACATATTTCTATAATTAAAAAGACAGGCTGGGCACGGTGGTTCATGCCTGTAATCCCAGCACTTTAGGAGGCCGAGGCGGGCAGACCACTTGAGACCAGGAGTTCGAGACCGGCCTGGGCAACATGGTAAAACCCTGTCTCTACCAAAAATACAAAAACTAGCCGGTCATGGTGGCGTGTGCCTGTAGCCCCACTACTTGAGAGGCTGAGGTGATTAGATGGTTTGAGCCCAGGGGCAGAAATTGTAGTGAGCTACGACAGAGCCACTGCATGCCAGCCTGGGCAACAGAGAGAGACTCTGTCTCGAAAAAGAAAAAGAAAAAAAAATTAGCCGGGCATGGTGGCAAGCACCTGTGGTCCCAGTTACTCAGGAGGCTGAGGCAGGAGGATTACTTGAGCCTGGGAGGTCAAGGCTACAGTGAGCCGTGATTGCACCACTACACTCCAGCCTGGGCAACAGAGCAAGACTGGCTCAAAAAACAAAACAACAAAAACAGAAGCCATTCATACATTGAATTTTAGGGACCCCCCAGATCCCCTTGAAGTCTGCTTATCTAGCCAGGTAAGCCAGAACAGAGTGGTAGAGAAAGGCTATCAATAAAGAGAAGCACAATAAAAAATATTACCTACGTTTACAGGTCATTGAAGAGTTCAGAAGACACTTTCCCAAGCATTGTCTTTGCAACAACTCTGTAAAGTCACAGAGCTGGAGGCAGGGTGCAGCGACTTGCCTGAGGTCACAAGCTAGCCCATGGCAGGGCAGAAAGTGCTTGAAGTTTCTGAGGCCAAGCCCAGTGCTCTTCACATTTCCCATCCTGCTTCCCAGGAGGTTCCATGCAGATCCTGTGGGAATGGGCGTTTCTGCGCTTATTCCTCTGTGCATTCTTCATGAGTGGTTGGATTTCCATGGACTTCACTCTGCCAAAGAGTCCTGTGCTGAATCATATGAACTGCTGACCTTCCAATAAACCAGCATGATTTGCTAAGCATCTGCTCTTGTACTAAGGCAGGCGGTAAGGCCAGGCTAGTGGGTTAGAATCCTAGCCATGCAGGTGACCAGCTTGAGCATGTTACTTAACCTCCACCCAATGTATGAAAAGCGCATAGTCCAGTTCCAAGGACATGATAAAAGTTCAGTAATGCAGACTTTCATTTTTATTGAATCTTCTCCTGCTTTCTCTGGGACCGCAGCATTTAAAAAACCCTACCAATAAGAGGTTGATTCACGTCAACTTCATTTTCTTTTCTCCAAGAAAAAAAGTCACAAACACAGAAACAAAGTCAATGCCTTGTCCATGCGTGTTCATGGGCTTAGCTAATGAGTCACCTGGTTGTGCACAGATCCACTGCTGGAATAATCAATCCCACCCATGAAGCCAAGCTTACAATTTAAGAAAAATTTAATAAGTGCCACTCGTCTTTCTAATCTCTGCTCACATGTGACTGACAAGCATCAGTCAGCACTGCTTGTACAAGTTACTGTTCTTCAAAGCTGGGGCAGGTGGGCCAAATGCCAAAATTACCTAACCAGCTTGAACTCCTGGCGTTTTCCTCCAAGCCAGTGAACGGGGGAAAAATATCTGCTATCAAGGGCTCCCCCTACAGGTACCAAAAAGCAAAGGCTAAAAAGAACTGTTTCCTTTCTTCTTTTGAAAAAGTTTCTAAGGCAGTCCTGAAACCGTAATTTTACTTGTTGACATAATCCCTTTTCCAAAACTCTGGCCAAAGAGTCTTAAGAATCTAAAGGACCAAGAATCAAGCAACCTCTTCCTCTTGACGTACTCACCTCCCACCTATAAAGGACCTCCCAAATATGATTTTGATACAAATAGGACACAACACGACTCTAGAGCTGTAACACTATTTTTGATAGTCATAATTATGGCACTTTTGAGTTTTCTTGTAGCTCATTTCCATCTCATTTTTAGGATTAGTGTATATTTGTGTGTGTGTGCATGAACGCACCAAAACAACTTCGATTCCAGACATAAAATCAATGACAGTTTTTAAACCACTTGATGGAAGGTTTGAGGGAACTTTTATCATTTACTTATTTTGTGCTACATTTCAGGTATATTTAATTTTCTGGGTTCGTGGAATAAGTTCCATGAACAGGTTCGTAAATGGTTGCCTGCTCTTGAAGGCTTCAAAAAAAAAAAAAGCTTGGATGGATAAATAAAAAGTTTCCAAGACATAAAGGAACAGAGAGCTTGTTTCAAATTTGTGCTTCTATTTCTCTCTGAGGGATGGAAGTTCACCAATCAGAGATGCGCATTTCCTCATAAAGGACACTCGAAGTTGTGCCCACAGAGACAAATGCTCATACGGGGACTCAGGAAGGACTGGGGTTCAGAAGAGGCTTGAGATCGTGTTATGAGAAACAGCTGAAGAAAAATGGGGTGCTCAGCCTAGGAAAGACCAAGGGGTGGTATGACAGGCTAACTTGGGAGGGCGACCAGCCTGTGTGGCCTCTCTAGTGAGCAGAGCTGTCAGAGGACAGAGTGGATCTCACGTTCAGGAAGAATGTTTTAATAATGAGCACTGCCCATAAAGAATAAGCTACATAGGTCATGGGTGCATACCTCATCTCTGAGGGTGTTTAGGTGGGGCCTGGAAAGGCCAAATAGTGGGAACATTGAAAAGACTCAAGAACTGGCAGAAAACGGAGGAGCCAGATTATATTTAACATCCTTTTTATTATTATTATTATTTTTTGAGACAGGGTCTCATTCTGTTGCCCAGGCTGGAGGGCAGTGGCACGATCTCGGCTCACTGCAACCTCCACCCCCTGGGTTCAAGCGATTCTCCTGCCTTAGCCTCCTGAGTAGCTAGGATTACAGGCATGCGCCGTTACCGCCCAGCTAATTTTTGTATTTTAAGTAGAGGTAGGGTTTTACCATGTTGGCCAGGCTGATCACGAACTCCTGACCTCAAATGATCCACCCGCCTCGGCCTCCCAGAGTGCTGGGATTACAGGCGTGAGCCACCGAGCCCAGCCTAAAATCCTTCTTAGCTCTAAAATCCTGAGACTGTGTAATAAAACCCCAAACAACTTAATAGTCCTCTTGTTATAAGGCTGGTTGGTTACCATCCCCCAGAGTCATTGTTAACCTATTAAACAAAACATTTTGTGCTTCAAGCCTTGATTAAGCTTCAAAATAACTTTTCAAAAGAAAAGACAACAAAATCAAACTAAAATGTAGCCTATACCAGTGTCGACTTCCTTCCTTTAATGTTTACTATAGTTATGTAAGATGGAACCACCAGAAGAAGTTAAATGAAAAGCTGGGTGAAGGGTACATGGGACCTCTACTATTTCTGCAATTTCCTGTGAACCTCTGATTATTTCAAAATAAAAAACTTTAAAAGATCAAATTAGCCCAGGCACAGTGGCTCATGCCTGTAATCCCAGCACTTTGGGAGGCTGAGGAGGGAGGGTTGCTTGGTGCCAGGAGTTCAAGACCAGCCTGGGCAACGAGGTAAGACCCCTGTCTCTACAAAAAATTTTTAAAATAGTGGGGCATGGTGGCATAAGCCTGTAGACCCAGCTACTCAGGAAGCTGAGGTGGGAGGATTCCTTGAGCCTGGGAGGTTAAGGCTGTAGTGAGCTTATGATCAGGCTACTGCACTCCAGCCTGGGCAAAAGAATGAGACCCCCATCTCTAAAAACAAATCAAAAACCAAGAATCAAATTAAAGATACTTCCCCAAGAAGTTCTAAGTAACATCAAAGGCAACTACAAACCAGTTTGGCTTAGGAGTACAGTGTCATCAGCCACAAATGACTCTGCACAAGCATCCACAGGCAGTAGGGCTCATTTCAAAACTATTCAAGACTACTCCAATCAGCTCATTTCAATGAGCTATTAAGATTTACAATCATGATTAGGAAAGCATGTATCGTGTTGACAGGCATCTAATTTGGTTATGTTGATCATAAATTCTCAGTTATCTGGGATCACATCATTAAAATCACCTATAGGCAACACATTCTTACAACTGCTTCCTATGTGATACTACAGAGGACTCATGTATAATTACTGTATTTCTAAAACTATAATACAGTAATTTATGTCTTACTTCTTCCATTAACCACGACTTGCAACAAGAACTATATTTTGTTCATCTTATTTTATCACCAAAACCTAACCCGTAGTAGGTTCTCAATAAATAGTTGCAGAGTGAGTATATTAAAAAACAGTAATTATAGGCCAGGCACGGTGGCTCACACCTGTAATCCCAGCACTTTGGGAGGCTGAGGTAGGCGGATCACGAGGTCAAGAGTTCAAGACCAGCCTGACCAACATGGTGAAACCCCATCTCTACTAAAAATACAAAAATTAGCCAGGCGTGGTGGCACATGCCTATAATCCCAGCTACTCAGGAGGCTGAGGCAGGAGAATTGCTTGAACCCAGGAGGCAGAGATTGCAGTGAGCCGAGATCGCGCCACTGCACTTCAGCCTAGGTGAAAGAGTAAGACTCCATCTCAAAACAAAAACAAAAACAAAAAAAAGTAACAATTTTCTTGAACTTCTGGGGTGATTTCCTTTTCTGATACAAAGACATCCAAAGAAATCTCAGAGAGTCTCTATTTTAGAATCAGTATTAAATATATATACATATATATGTGTGTGTGACTATGTCACAGAGTCTCTGAAACACAGAAGTTTAATTTCAAAAACTATCTCCAACTACTTGTTTTTTATTTATTAGTTTCCTAAGATATAGGTTTGATTTGGAATCAAACAGAAAGGTCAGGCTTCTCCAGACAGACAGGAAAACCAGTATGAATTATTAAACAGATCCCCTCAACTTGAAAGTCTCTGCTGGAATGACCTTTGTCTAATTTTATCAAGTGCACCAAGAACAGCTTCTTTCAGAAATTAGAGACAGCATCACCTTTGGATTCTTTAATATCGACAGATCAAAAAGCATTTGGTGATTTCTCTGTATTTTATATCTCTTAGTTAAGTTTACTAATTGCATTTTTCAAATAAACATTTTGAATAGCCCAAATCAACAAAAGCCATGAGATCACAAAGTGTTGCTTCTCGGCACAACATTAGCTTGTTCAGAAAATCCAAAAGCCACATCCAAAAATCAATGATGCTATCTTAAAGACATGAGGGAGGCTCCTTAAGACCCTAGAGACACCAAGGACCCCACAGGGTCCATCATATAAGCAGGCTCAGAAGCCGGCTTGATCCTGAGAACCTCTGCAAAGCCATCACCAAACCAGCAAGTGACATGCGCTATGTCTATGGTAAAGTAGAAAAGGCGGTCCTGGCAAAGCTTCCGGCGGTACACAGACCGAGGATCCGCTGACAGCACAGCCTCAATGGCACGCTTTGCTTCCTCTGCTGACTGAAAATATTTAAATGACGCCTGACCAACATCTGCAATGAAAAAAACACAACTCAATGAGCACTATCGTGCAGGTTGAATTTCATTACAGCAAACTTCAATATGGAATTTGGTTGGTTCCTTAAAGATCACTTGACATGGAAAGGGTTTGGAAATCTATTTGATCATTACGGAGACTGTCACCTTCAAGAGGTGTTTATTGTCATTAGGTTTAACTTATACACCCCCAAATTTTTGTTTTACTGAACAGAAAAATCATGGTAGTATTTTTCCTTAGTCTTCTAACTAGGAGAGGTGAGCTTTCGTTTTCTGTCAACCAAAATGTCACTTTTCTGACATCCAAAATGTCACTTTTCTATACTCAATGTAGACTTTAATTCCTTGTCATTTTCTTCTCAGAACAGAGACAAGGAAATGCATGACAGTCCCACCATCCTCAGAAAGCCACAAGAAAGAGAACTAAACCCCCACATACCCAGAGCACCAGCTACAGGCAAGAGAGGCTGCACCAGAAAGCTGGTGTCACAGCCCCACAGTTACCAGTAACGTCCCTTTGCTTTGGGACTCTCTCACATTTGCTGTCCCGAAGGAACAGCAAAATTTCCTATGTTTGTAGGATTTTTAATGTATTTTAATTTTTTTAGTGTATGTAAAACATAAATTTAAAAAGTAACTGTGATCTAGTTTTTCATAACTACAATATCACATACATCCAAATGAAGGCCGGCCCCTTCCAGGGAGGCACAGACCTTAAAAACACTGTCCTGCTCAAAATATCATCTCTGGTGGCAGTGGATCTTTATCCCTCTTAGAGTGGATTTGATTTCCATAAGTAGCCAAAAATCACTGTGGGCCATATCTAATAAGCAAGTTGGGTAAATAAAGCCATGAAGTACAATTTTTAGTCAAAAATCAATTATATAGTCTGGGCACAGTGGCTCATGCCTGTAATCTCAGCACTTTGGGAGGCCAAGGTGGGAGGATCACAAGGTCAGAAATTCAAGACCAGCCTGACCAACATGGTAAAATCCCATCTCTACTAAAAATACATAAAAAATAGGCCAGGCGTGGCAGCTCATGCCTGTAATCGCAGCACTCTGGGAGGTTCAGGCGGGCGAATCATGAGGTCAGGAGATCGAGACCATCCTGGCTAACATGGTGAAACCCCATCTCTACTAAAAAAGTACAAAAAAAAAATTAGCCAGGTGTGGTGGCGGGTGTCTGTAGTCCCAGCTACTCGGGAGGCTGAGGCAGGAGAATGGCGTGAACCCGGGAGACGAAGCTTGCAGTGAGCCCAGATCGTGCCACTGCACTCCAGCCTAGGCAACAGAGCAAGACTCCATCTAAAAAAAAAACCAAAAAAAAAATATTAGCCAGTGTGGTGGCACACACCTGTAATCCCAGCTACTCAGGAGGCAAGACAATCACTTGAACCTGGGAGGCAGAGGTTGCAGTGAGCAGAGATTGCACCACTGCACTCCAGCCTGGGTGACAGAAAGAGACTGCATCTCAAAAAAAAAAAAAAAAAAAAAAATCAATTATATGGCAATAAGATTCCTTTACTGCATGGCTCATAGAAAATGGCTCTGAAGGCGACTCAAAAATGAGGAAAGCTCATCACACTCCCCAGTGATGGCATTTCTAGGAGAGGCTCCAGGCCTCTGGTTGGCCGTCCATCTGGCATGGGTGCCTTCTCCCAGTTCCCTGCCTACTCATCCTGCCAGGTTCCGCTCAAGCACCGTTTCCTCCCACACTCCCTCCCAGACCCAAGTCAGGATTCTCCTCTCAGAGTGCCCACAGCACTCTGCCCAGACCTTTACTCCAGCACCAAACTTCCTTCCATTTCAACACCTCTAACCTCTTCTAGACTCAGAGCTTCCTGAAATCACTTCTTATTTCTGCAACAGCTCTCAATTTTGCTGTCTGCTATCAATCAGTTCCTGTTTTGTAGTTACACTGCGTAATTTCTCATTTTAATCATTTTTTTAATCAATAAGGCATATTTCAAACATCTGACACATATTGCACTGCAGTTTAAAAAAACAAAACTTTCCAGGCCAGGCGTGGTGGCTCACGCCTGTAATCCCAGCTACTCAGGAGGCTGAGGCAGGAGAATCGCTTGAACCCGGGAGGCAGAGGTTGCGGTGAGCCGAGACCGCGCCACTACACTCCAGCCTGGGTGACAGAGCGAGACTCCATCTCAAAAAAAAAAAAAAAAAGGAAAGAAAAATGAAAAGAAAGAAAAACAAAACTTTCCCTAGTAGGTTGCATTCAACAATAACCACAGGACAAGTGGTAAGTGTAAACATAAAGTATCCAGAAGACAGGACTGTTTCGTTCCACCACAAAATCCTTTTACAACTGACCAGCTTCCTCCCATCAACTGTATACACTGATGAAATTATTTCTATCAACAAAACTTTTAAAAACAAAGAGATCAATTTTTAAATCAACAGCTCTGTTTAAAAGTAAAGCCTTAGGGAGGAACGAGAAGCACAACCCTCAGGTGGCATCGGCACTCATGACCACGCGACTGCCACATCCAGAGGTGCAGGGGGTGCTCAGCATACAGCACCTGGCTGAGGTTGGCATGTTGGGGCTAAAACCAGTTCCTGGGCCCTGGCAGGTGGCTGCCTCCACCCAGAGGAAGGGGTGGCTTTTCCTTTGCAAAAGGCAACAGTGTAGGCTGGCTGTGGCTCTGACAGGAAGAAATGGGGAAATCTTAGTGTCAGTTGGCATGTGTCTCTAGTCCCAACTTTTAGACTTCTTTTGCCATCAGAAGAACCTCCTTCAGGTTGGAGTATCAAAGCCAAATACCCGCTAGCCTCTTCATTCTCTCCCTGCTAGTAAAGCAGGGGAAAATCTAGTATATTTGGTTGTGTAACCCTTTATTTTCTGGATATGGAATGAAAGTCTTCATTTTCTCAATAAGGAACTCCAGCTTGCCTTTGCATGTCACTGAGATGTGACATCCCAGAAATCACACAGGTAGTGATCTGACCCCAGAGATGGCCCCCTGCTCTCCGGGGATACCGACATCAAGTTCCTCTGCCTTTTACTTCTCCCAAGATCAAAACTCAAGTCCTTACAATGGCCTATAAAACCCTTAGGTGACCTCGTCCCTTTTCTAGTGCCTCTTTGACCTCATATCCTTCCACTCAGCCCTTCTCAGTCCATTCTGGCCACCTGACCTCAAACATGCCATGCACTCTCCACCTTGTGGCTGTGCGCTGGCTGTCCCTCAGGCCAGCATGTCCTTTCTCCGGACAGGCTGGCTCATGTCTTCACTTCTTTGACCTTTGCTCATATGTGTCTTTCTCAGTGAAAGGCTCATATGGCCCCAGTGGGCCACCTATTTAAAACTGCAGGCTGGGCGCGATGGCTCAAGCCTGTAATCCCAGCACTTTGGGAGGCCGAGACGGGCGGATCACGAGGTCAGGAGATTGAGACCATCCTGACTAATGTGGTGAAACCCCGTCTCTACTAAAGAAACACAAAAAACTAGCCAGGCGAGGTGGCAGGCACCTGTAGTCCCAGCTACTCGGGAGGCTGATGCAGGAGCATTGCTTGAACCCGGGATGTGGAGGTTGCAGTGAGCCGAGATAGTGCCACTGCACTCCAGCCTGGGCAACAGAGTAAGACTCCGTCTCAAATAAATAAATAAATAAATAAATAAATAAATAAATAAATAAATAAATAAATAAAACTGCAACAGGCTAGGTGCAGAGGTTCACACCTGTAATCCCTGCACTTTGGGAGGCTGAGATAGAGGATCCCCAGAGCCCAAGAGTTCAAGACAAGCCTGGGCAACAAAATGAGACCCCATCTCTTTAAAAAAAATCAAAATAGGCCAGGCGTGGTGGCTCACGCCTGTAATCCAGGCACTTTGGGAGGCCAAGGCGGGTGGATCACGAGGTCAAGGGATCAAGACCATCCTGGCTAACACGGTGAAACCCTGTCTCTACTAAAAATACAAAAAATTAGCTGGGTGTTGGGGCAGGCACCTGTAGTCCCAGCTACTCGGGAGGCTGGGGCAGGAGAATGGCATGAACCCAGGAGGCAGAGCTTGCAGTGAGCCGAGATCGAGCCACTGCACTCCAGCCTGGGTGACAGAGTGAGACTCCATCTCAAAAAAAAAAAAATAAATAAATCAAAATATTAGCCAGGCGTAGTGATGCACACCTGTAGTCCCAGGTACACAGAAGGCTGAGGTGGGAGGACTGCTTGAGCCCAGGAGGTTGAGGCTGCAGTAAGCCATATTCTTGCCACTGCACTCCAGCCTGGGTGACAGAGTGAGATCCTGTCTCAAAAATAAAGTAAAATAGTAACAACACCCCAACCCTGCTGTATTCTCTCTTAAATTTTTCAGTAACTCTTATCACCTTCTAATATTATATAATGTTGAGCATGTTTGGTATAATAACTTGATTGCTTATTATGCTTTTAGTTTGTTTCTCTCCTCCCCATTAGAATGCAAGCTCCATAAGAGCAGGGGTTTTTAAAATCTGTTTTGTTCACTGATGTATTCCAAGAACCTAGACCAATGTCTGGTACCAAGCAGAAGCTCAGTAAACAACTGTAGAATGAATAAATGAACTTCCCTCTTTATATGGCTAGGCTGGCTCCTTACTGAGTTGTAACACAAAGAAGAGCTTTTTGCAATCTGACATCTCCTTGGCAACCAGCTGCTTCTTTTTGATGGAGTCTCACTCTGCCACCCAGGCTGGAATACAGTGGCACCGTCTCGGCTCACTGTAACTTCTGCCTCCTAGGTTCAAGCAATTCTACTGCCTCAGCCTCCCGAGTAGCTGGAATTACAGGCACCTGCCACCACAACTGGCTTTCTGTATTTTTAATAGAGATGGGGTTTCATCATGTTGGCCAGGCTGGTCTTGAACTCCTGACTTCAAGTGATCCACCCACCTCGGCCTCCCAAAGTGCGGGGATTACAGGAGTGAGCCACCGTGCAAAAGAGGTATGATGTCCCTCCAGTGACTATGCTTTTCGTTAGCTCTGCTGCTGGCCAGAAGACTCACTCGAGAGACTCTCCTTGAAGGCTTGCTGAAGTAGGCAGGCATGCTGGGAAGCCCACAGAGCAAGGAACTGCAAACAGCCTTTAGACGCTGAGGGCAGCCTCCAGCCAACAACCAGCAAGAATCTGGGGCCCCCAGTCCTACTACAACTGAAACTAGTTACTTCTTACTGGTATCACTGTATCCACATCTTAACAGCCCCTTCCTTCATCCTAGGCTACTGCTTGGGATCTGCTGTGAGCTGGGGGAACCAGATAACATTTGTTAAGAACCAAGTGTTAAAGTAAGCAGGCTCCATGTAAGAGCCCTGTGGCCTCTCTTCTGCAGCGAAATGTATGCCTCTAGCTGTGGGACTTTGTTGGGGCAAGTTCTGTGCTAAGAGACTCTTCCCCTCTGACTCTGGGCTCCTAGAGTCCTCTGTGCCAAAGGCTAAGCTGTCTTATCACTTCTTATTTCTGCAACAGCTCTGAATTTTCCTGTTTGCTATCAATTGTATCAGAATACAATGCAACATTTCTCTAGTAAGACAGTAAAACAAATAAGAAAACTTTAGGTACATAAGTACAGAACAAGCACAATTCAGCTTCTGAATGATGCTTGAAGACTCTAAGAACTACTGTTAACAAGCAGACAAGGTGCTGTAAGTCATGGGCCACCTCGTGAGGCAGCAGCCACTCTCTGCCAATGCTTTGCTGACAGCCTGGAACTAACTGTGCTGACCACACAGTTGCCCAACAAGACTCATCGTATGATGGTGCTGCAAAAATACTATTTTATACCTGTTTCCTAAAAACCAGTCACACTGACAAACACTCCATATAACTGCCCTCACAAATACCAAACTTGGCTAAATCTCAGAGTAAAAGTTCATCTCTCATTCAGAATGAAGAAACTGAAGATACCTGATTCACCCTGTGAACTGAGCTGCCCAAGGTCCATCTCAGCATGAGGAGTAAACCGCACTTCTAAAGTGGCCACAGGGGCCTCTGTCACCCAGGCAGGAACCACGCTGCAGGGAGCTCCATCAGCCCTTCCAGCAGGTAAGTGAGAGGCCGTGGGCTGTGTCTCTGCCCTGCTTCCTTGCAGGACTGCTGCTCCTTCCACTCTCTCTAGCTTCTTGTCTGTACCTTTCTCTGAAAAGCTCTTCTCTGGGCCATATGGGCCAATTTGTTCTTCTGACATACTGGAACTCTGATCACGTCTTGATTCCAAACCAAAATCCACTGCTATCTCCCTGTGCATAGGGAATGCTTGCTGAATTCTGGCTGTGTCACTGTGTGTCAGGTAGTTTTCTTCTGAAGTTCTGTCTTCAGGACATTTAGGTTTCTCCTTAGTGCTACGGTGAGGTTGTGGCTCATCACACACTGACAGCTGTCGCTGGTCACAGCTGTCAGTCTTGCTGTCAGACTGGGACGCAGTGTTTGGTGTATGTTGGTTATTCTGTAAATTAAAGTCTGCTAAAGGCTCCATCACATTTTGCGGCGAGTCATACTCAGCTATGTAGGGCTTGATGTCTAGTACTGGTGTGCCATGTATCATGTCAATTCCAGAAAGGTATATAGCTCCACCTATGACATAAAAACGTGAAAAATGAACACTGCAAACACTTGGAGAATACAATCACACCCCAGAATCCTCTAACACTGTCTGCTTATGCCTCACTGCGCTTACTCATAATTCTCTCACATAGACCTGGAACCAACACACATCCTTCTTGTTACCTGGTAGCCTATCCTCTTCTCTACCTATCAAACTCCTACTTGATCTTTGAGGCCCTCAAAGTACACCTTTTACAAAGCCTTTCTGGCTCCTCCAGACAAAAGTATTCTTTCCTACAGTCCTCATAGAGAAGCCTGTGCACAAACCTCTGCCAGAGCCCTTTCCCCATGGTAGGGCAGTGACCAGCTTAGAGTCTTTATCCCTAGACAGCAGGCAGGCCCCTTAACACAGGCTGGGGCCAACTCATCTCTGTATCACTGGTGCTTCTGTTCCAGGGATATAGTAGTCCTCAATATATCTCTATGGGACCAATGAAGGTTTCTACTGTGGCAAACAGATCCAAAGGTGGCCCTGTGACCCGCACCTCCTGAAGTTCATGTCCTTATATAATCCTCCCCCTTCAGTTGTGACTGGCTTCTAACCAATAGAATATGGCGAAAGAGGTATGATGTCCCTCCAGTGACTATGCTTTTTGTTAGCACTGCTGCTGGCTGGAAGACTCACTCGAGAGACTCTCCTTGAAGGCTTGCGGAAGTAGGCAGGCATGCTGGGAAGCCCACGGAGCAAGGAACTGCAAACAGCCTTTAGATGCTGAGGGCAGCCTCCAGTCAACAACCAGCAAGAATCTGGGGCCCCCAGTCCTACTACAATGGCAAGGAAATCAATGTGGCCAACAGTCTAAGTGACTTGAAGCAGATTATTCCACAGTCAAGCCTCCAGATAGGAACTCATCTCAGCTGACAACTTAATTGCAGTCTAGTGAGACCCTAAGCAGATGATGACCTAGTTAAGCTGTGCCCATCCTTCTGACCCACAGATACATAATAATGTTTCAAACACATAACAAATGTGTGTTGTTTAAACTGATGATTCTGTGGTAATTTGTTACACAACAATAGAAATCTAATACATCCATGAAGACTCAAAAGATTAAGCAGCACATAAGTCAGCATTACCAAATACTAAAGACAAGTCTCCAGCTGTCCCGCTGGACATATGCTGTCCAGTTCCTGCTACACATAGTCATCTACTAACCTTACTCTTGGAAAATAGGTCAAATGAGAACAGAAAAACGGCATGCAGTCATATTTGACTTCGTCTCCATTTAAGAAAAATGTAACTAATACAGGACCCTGATTTCTGACACATGCTTATTATGAATGAGCCTTGAACTCTGGAAGGATGATTCCAGACTTGCTAGATGATGAATTATGCCTAATATCTGTAGGAAAAAGAAAGGCACTGTAGCATAAGTTAAAACTTCAAAAGATTTAGTCAGATGACCACCTGGCTGGATGCTATTAGACAGATTATCTAACATTAAAGAGCCCTGGTTTCCTCACCTATGAGATGAGGATTGCTACTGTGTCAAACCCACAAAGCCACTGTGAGATAAGGTACGTGAACACTGTTTACTAACTGTAAAGCACTGCACAAACACTAGTCGTCATACAGCTTATATAGTAATGTCTACAGTGCTACTGTGTTTGCCTTTTAACCTTTCTGACTTGACCTGCCCAACTGAAACATTAAGTTCTTTAGGGCAGGGATTTCTACTTTTATCTGATTTGTTTACCACTATAGCTCCAGCACCTAGGACAATGCCTGGCACATAATCAGTGCTAGAAAATATGTGTGGGTTGCATAAATAATCATAAAATCTTCTAGTACTTGCTACCCGTGTTGGTTAGCTATTATAAATGATAAAAGTCAAGGTGGATCAGCTACTGAATTTTTCTGGGGAAACTACCTAAGGCCCAGTTGAGTACAATCCAGTGAGAGAGTTCAAGTTCTGGGAGAGAACAAACAAAATAACTGCTCTCATCTATTTAGTGTCCAATAGCCTGAAAAATTAGTTTCAGAACTTTTGTCTTACAAGATTCTCAAAATAGGCCGGGCGCGGTGGCTCAAGCCTGTAATCCCAGCACTTTGGGAGGCCGAGACGGGTGGATCACAAGGTCAGGAGATCGAGACCATCCTGGCTAACATGGTGAAACCCCATCTCTACTAAGAAACACAAAAAACTAGCCGGGCGAGGTGGCGGGCGCCTGTAGTCCTAGCTACTCGGGAGGCTGAGGCCGGAGAATGGCGTGAACCTGGGAGGCGGAGCTTGCAGTGAGCTGAGATCCGGCCACTGCACTCCAGCCTGGGCTACAGAGCGAGACTCCGTCTCAAAAAAAAAAAAAAAAAAAAAAAAAAAAAAAAAAGATTCTCAAATATTCTGTTGAATCACAGAGGAAGTAGGTCCTTCTCCTTTTCCCACTTCACAACCAGCAGGCTGAAGCCTAGAATGGTCTCCTGACTCCTAGTTTACCTGCCATTTCATCTGCTGCCTGTTAGGTCAGAATGGACTGCTTTTCATAAATTTGTAACTAGATTATATATGAACACACAGTTAAAACTAGTTAGTTTAGAACTTCTACAATCTGACCAATGTTTGTCCTTGTAGTGTGATTCATCCCAGACTCCTGCCACATAGCACAGTTGATATGAGCACAGCAGCCATGATGTCTGTCCATTTCCCCAAGACTGCAAGGAAGGAATGATATACCACCAGTCTATGTGTCTTCCATATGTGCATGTACAATGAGTTATTGTGTGTTAAATTGGAAAGTGTCCATTTAATCATTTTGTATTCACTGCATTCCAAGTCAGAGAAACTGTGGTTACTAACTTAATGATTATGAAATTTTTGTTATTTCTAAATAATTTAATAGTTTTGGATATATGCAATAACATAAACTCTGAGCATCCTATGAGAGTTTATTTCAACATTTTTCAATGCTAACATTCTTTTATTCATTGTATTTTCTTCAATGTCTGGTGGTTCTCAGGAAGTTAACATCATTGGTACTCATCTGAATAAACAGCCAGTGGTGAATGCTGTGTTTATTTTATAAGGCTTTTCTGTGTAAAGAAAAAGGTAAAAGTAGAAATGAAATGGGTTACCTTCTACCTTTTCCAGCTTGGCCAGGGTCAGTCCTATCGCATTGGGACGATGAGGGCTCCTTGTGGAAAAAACTCCAGTCTTTGCACCATTCAGCCTAGGAGGCTGCACCTTTGCCTTACAGCTCAAATGACCATTTTTATGAAAAACAAACAAAATCCTATAAAAAAACAAAACAAAACCACGGAATAAGAAAAGAGCACAAGTTATTTTACCACAATGATCTGATGGGGGAAAAAATGCAATCTTTCACAAATTAACAGAAACCATGTTTTAAATAGTATTAACTTGTAATCTAGCAGGAAGAAAATAGCACCATCCCCCTTCCTTCTCTCCACATCCTTTGCAGCTAACACAACAACTGGCACACAGTAGGAACTTAAGAGATATTTGTCAAGTGCCCAATGAACAATATTTACTGTCTGCTGTTTGTCAGGTAGTACGGTAAAATAATTTTACACTCACTTCATGCAATCTTCTTAACTATCTTAAATAATATAATTTATCCCCCATTTTTGGGATGAGGAAATTGAAGTTCAGAAATGTTAAATAATTTTACCAGACCTTCCTTTTTTTTTTCATTTGGCATGACCAGACCTTCCTAAGTAAGATACGAAACCAAGAAGCCATGAAGAAAAACTAACAGATTTGAACTCATGAAACCACAACATTTATGTACTACAAAATGTCAGCCTAAGAGAAAATGTTTGCTACATACATAATGGACCATAGGTTAATATCTGTGGCACATAAATTGTTCCTATAGATTACTAAGGACAACCCAATATAGGACACTATGCAAAGAACATGAATAAGTAATTCACAAAAAAATGACAAGTAGCTAAGAACCATATGAAAAGATGTTGAGCTTCACTAATAATTAGATATTTCTAAATTTAGAAATTAAGCTAAAAAACCAAAATACTCTTTTTCCCCATCAGGCAAAAATGTAAAACACTGATAACATATTGTGTTGGGAAGGGTGTAAGAAAAAGGCTATTTGCATATATTATTGAAGTATAAATTGGTTAATTTCAGAGGATAATTTGGAAGTAGTTCTCTAAAATTCTAAATATGCTTACCTTCTAGTCCAATATATCCACTTCTGACATCCTGTCCATAAAAATACACAAGTGGCCAAGAATGTTTCTAAGGGAGTTTGTCACAGTATTATAATAACAACATAGCCCTCCATTAACAAGAGTGTACATGGTACATCTATATTTTGTAATAGACAGCTATTAAAGCAAAAAAAAAAAAAAAAAAGGTAAATCTACTGTCATGAAAGCTCTCCATGGTATATACTGTTATGTGAAGGAAACATACTTTTTTTAAAAAAACAAATACCCACTCTGTATGTATAAATTTGTTTCTATGTGTATTTGAAAAAGAAAACATTAAAAGGTCTGGCAGAATCTACACCGTGCTGTCAACAGTAATAATCTCTGATGAGGGGCTGGGGTTGGGGAGAGAGGAGGAAAATAGGAGGGATAAGGAAAAATCTCTTTATATACTTCTGAACCCATGTTTTACATCATCAATAACTTAAATAATTCAATCAGGGTCATAATACAAACTAGGCCAGAACACACATTTTCTTTCTAATCTAATCTTGTCCCCAAATTAACATGAAAAATAAACTATTTCAGAATAAACACTTAATTTTTAGGTCTCTACCAATAAAAACAGACTGATTTAAACTGCTGATGTTGGGGTGAAGAATGAACACAGACAGAATTTGAAAAGACCACAAACAATGCTAGTATAACACAGGCCCTAATATAGGTAACACTTAAAGTATCCAGATTTCTACAGCGTTTTGTCTTTTAGGAGTATATTTAATTCTACATGAGTCTAGAGCAGGATCTGTAAACTTTTTCTATAAAAGGTCAGGGAGTAATATTTTAGGATATGTAGGCCAACCAGTCACTACAGAGACTATTCAACTCTGCTGCTACAGCACAAAAGCAGCCACAAACAATACATAAATAAATGGACATGACTGTGTTTCCATAAAAATAATTTACAAAAAATGGGCCATAGTTTACTGACCCCTGGTCTAGATGGCAGAATAATGACCCAGGGGCAGAGTCAAGGAGGTCTGTAATTTCCACTCAACAGAAGGCATTCATCACAATTAGAACCAACTGCAAATGGAACATGCCACCTCAGTGAATCCCAAGCCTCCCTGAGGATGTCTAAATGACACAGACAATCATATGCACAAATACAGTACAAAATTCCATACAACAGGCTGGTCCAAAGGTAGTGAGTTATCTCAATCGATTGTTCACAGTCAGTTACAGATTGAACTTTTTGTTCTACTTTTCCCCCCTTCTCACTACTGCACTTGTCTTAAAAAATAAAAAATAAAAAAAATCCACGCAAAAGATGAGAGTTCCAGCCTGGGCAACATGGTGAAACCCCGTCTCTACCAAAAATACAAAAAAGAATTAGCCAGGCATGGTGGTGTACACCTGTGGTCCCAGCTACTCAGGAGGCTGAGGTCAGAGGATACCTTGAGCCTGGGAGGCAGAGGTTGCAATGCGCTGCTATCTCACCACTGTACTCCAATCTGGGTGACAGAGACCCCGTCTCAAAAACAAAACAAAACAGAAAGATGACGGCGGTCTGGATGGCAGACTCCAAGGTTGCCTTCAATTGGAGTACTTTATTTGGGGGCAAGTTCTGGCCCAAAATCCTACATCTAACTATAAAATAACTTACCAAACATGAGAAAACTGTTCTAGGCCCATCAGGGAATGTTCAGGATTATTAAAGATGCTCTTTCTAATCCTCAAACAGGCTCGAGAATAGCTACAAATGGATGGCTGTCTTGGAGTACCATTCTTGGCTGAGAAACAGGATTCCAAGTAGCCGATTGGCTCAGTTAAAAGATTCCCTATAGGAGAAAATTAGTTAAGAAATTATTAGTCAAAAGGTCAAACCAGGTTGTAAGAAAACATGTTTTCTCTAACGCATTGGTTTCATAGTTTTAAAATATTAGTGTTGTACAACTATAAAAATGATTTTTATAATGTTCATGAATACGTATATTCTCATCATTACACACACACATCATTCCATACATAGTAATATTCCTTTAGATATACTAGAAAGAATAATGGTCCAAGAAAGAAGGAAACGAAGGGGGCATTTTCAGAATACCTACTATGACCATAATTAAAATTCTATGCTACCAGTACTAAGTCATGCGACTTTGGCCAGGGCTATGAGGGCTTATTTATTTATTTATTTATTTATTTATTTTACTTATTTTTTTTTTTTTTTTGAGATGGAGTCACTCTGTTGCCCAGGCTGGAGTGCAGTGATGCGATCTCGGCTCACTACAACTTCTGCTTCCCAGATTCAAGCATTTGTCCCGCCACAGCCTCCTCAGTAGCTGGGATTACAGGCACCCGCCTCCACACCCAGCTATTTTTTTTTTTTTTTTTTGTATTTTTAGTAGAGACAGAGTTTCACCACGTTGGTCAGGCTGGTCTTGAACTCCTGACCTCATGATCCGCCCACCTGGACCTCCCAAAGTGCCGGGATTACAGGCATGAGCCACCATGCTTGGCCTATGAGGGTATTTCTAATAGAGGAGACAGCGTACACAAAAGTGAGAAATGTCATAGCATATCCAGGAAACAAGCTATTTTGATTGGCTGGAGTATGAAATAAGAGGCAGAGAATAATGAAAGATGAGGAAACACTGGGTATATATAAGTAAGGATGTCTTCAATTGAAAGCAACAGAACATATGAAATAAACTAATTTAAGCAATAAAGACAACTTATAAGCTCATAGTGCTAAAATATCTAGAGGCAAGGTAGATTTCAAGTGAGGCTTGGTCCAGTAGCCTGCTGCCCCTCTAGAATGTAAGCTCCATGTGGGCAGGAGTTTTTCTGTCTTGTTTATCGCTGCATTCTCACTGTCTAGTACATTGCCTGCAAGGGAGTAGGTACTCAAAAAATTCATGTTGCATGGAAGAAAAGATTATATATGTCTAAGCTGATTAACGTGGAAATTGAAAAAGTAAAAGAATAATATGTATATAATCCCACTTATGGAAATTTGTTATATATTTATTTACCTTCTTAAACATGCACAGGTATGTTTGGAAAGCTATCTGGAAGGATATGCACCAAATGTGTGTTTTTTGTTTGTTTTTTTTTTGAGACAGAGTCTCGCTCTGTTGCCCAGACTGGAGAGCAGTGGCACGATCTCGGCTCCCTGCAATCTCCACCTCCCAGGCTCAAGTGACTCTCGTGCCTCAGTCTCCCAAGAACGCACCACCATGCCCATTTAATTGTTGTTGTTGTTTTTTTTTTGTAGAGAAGGGGTTTTACCATGTTGGCCAAGCTGGTCTCAAACTTACCTCCAGCAATCTGCCCATCTCGGCCTCTCAAACTGCTGGTATTAAAGGGGTGAGCCACCACACCTGGCCAATATTCACCAATTTTTTTCAACAGTGGTTTATCTGGGTGGTAAGATATTTAAACTACCTTCAAATTTAACTTTGTAATTTCTATAATATTTGAAATTTTTTCAATCATCACAAATTAGGCCAGGCACGGTGGCTCATGTCTGTAATCCCAACACTTTGGGAAGCTGAAGCGGGCAGATCACCTAAGGTCAGAAGTTTGAGACCAGCCTGGCCAACATGGTGAAACCCCATCTCTACTAAAAGTAAAAGAATAAAAAAAATAATAATAATGATTAGCCAGGCATGGTGGTGCATGCCTGGAGTCCCAGCTACTCGGGAAACTGAGTCAGGAGAATCACTTGACCCTGGGAGGCGGAGGTTGCAGTGAGCCAAGATCACGCCACTGCACTCCAGCCTAGGTGAGTGAGACTCCATCTCAAAAAAAAAAAAAAATCAATTTTTTTAATAACATATTTCAAAAGAAAAAAAATGGCCAGATACTATCAATATAAATTTAAAGTCTAAGGTTTCCATGGCTACCACTTTGAATTTATCGATAACTTTTTTATTTTCACATTTCATGAGAGCGTTATCAATTTCTCAAAGTTGACATAAGGACACTTCAGACTTTCATTTTATTTCCTGCTTCCTTAAATCTACCCTACCAGCATAAGCAGTAAGACTCTAGGTCCAGGGCTGTCCCTCACAGTATCTTTCATTACTCTTCATTTCTAGAAGCTATATTATTTGATATATATATTATATGCAACATACATGTAAGTTATACGGCATAATATAATGAAACCCCACGTACACACCACCCACCCCAAAAACTAGAGCATTACCAATGACTTGTGTCTTTTTAGGTTGTTTTCCTCTTATCTCACACCCTTCTTTTCCCTCTGAGATAAACAGAAGCCTGAATTTGGTCTTTATCACTCACTTCCTTTCAAAGTATGATTTTGTTACATGTACATGCATGCCTAAACAGCATTTCATTGATTTTTGTCTTTAAGATCTATAAAAACTGGCACCAAACTGTAAGGTGTCTTCTCAGACTTGCTTTTTCTCTCTCAATATTATGAGGCTAAGATCCATCCATACTCTGTATGTTTTTGACAACTTTAATTTTTCTCCAAGTATGTTTATAGGCATTGTTTTTTGTTTTTTTGTTATTTTTCTTTTTGATCTTCATCCATGCTTCTGTGGAACAGATATAGCAGACATCTTAAAAATGAAGAAACTGAGGCCAAACGACCTGGTGCATCTTCTTTATGTCTGGAAGATAAATGGCCAAAAAAGACTCCTAACCCAGCCACAAAATTCCTGTGTCTCGTTTTCATTTCTTCAAGAGACATTTTCTGGCTGATACTCTGGGCACACTGCCTATGAGTTAGCCCTGCTCCACCGAGAGAGAGACAGAGAGAGAGAGAGAGAGAGAGAGAGAGAGAGAGAGGGAGAGAGAAGAAAGAAAAGAAAGAAAAGAAAGAGAAAGAAAAGAAAGAAAGAAAAAAGAAAAGGAAAGAAAAGAAAGGAAAGGGAGAGAGAAAAAGGAGAAAAGTAAAGAAAGAAAGAAGAGAGAAAAGAAAAGAAAAAAGAAAAGAAAGGAAAGAAGAAGAGAAAGATGGGAAAGGAAGGAAGAGAGAAACACTATTTTCCAAGTGTCTACAATTGCCAGACATTGTGTTAAGTTTGGAGAAAAGATACAAACCAAGAACTCTTACTACAGTGGAATTAATGGTTGGGGAGACTCTCACACCATACTTCAATATCATGGAAAATGTCCTATCAGCAGTAACGTAATTAAAGTCGTCCGCCCTTGACTCTTTGATTTGGGGCCTAGGAATTTATATTATAGCTGATTCATCACTTCACTGAATCAGTCTATGCCTGTTTTTCAGATTACACATATGATATGGCTGCCAATTAGATTTATTTCTATCCTTTTTGTGCATCTCCTTAAGAACATAAGCAAGACAACACTAGATTAGCAACCAACTGAAAGTATACTGAAGAGGTACTTTGTAAGAGTTCTAACTCTGCTACTCTGTTTGGGACCAATCTCAAAATATCAAATATCCATATTCTAATACGTCTGAACTCTTCTGGGACATATTTATATATTCTCTGAATATATATAAATATATATATTATTCTCTGAATATAAATATATATATCCCCAGGAGGCTGGGGATAAGGCTATGAAATACAAATGCTATTTGAAGCAGAGACCTGACACTGTCCAGGGGAATTCTGGTCTTCTTGCCTATCTCAAAACAACAAAAACCCAAAAGAACAGTAAATACCTACCATTTGGTAAGCACTGTGCTAAGGATTTGGGGGTATAAATAAGAACCAGTTCTCATCCTCAAGGGTTTCCAGTATGACAGAGAAGGACAAGTAAATCCACAATTCTAGCTAGGCGCCTTTGCAGGGATAGAGATAAATGAGCATAGGTATACCAAAAACCAGCACAAGAACCTCATGGAAAAGGGGAGAAGTGGTTCCTCAAAGGAGCACGAGAATTAGGACTGGTTTCAGAATGGAAAAAGGATAAAAACAACACAGGGCCACTACATTAGCTCTGTGACCATGGGAAAAACTAGCTTCTCTCTCTGAATCCGTTTTCTCATCTATAAAACAAGGATAATACCTACTTTGGAAAGCTGTAAGAGTACTAATAAAATATGGAAAGCATCCAGTAAAATAGAAAGTGCCCAGCAAGGAGTGCTTTTTAAAGTCCCTGCTCAGGATTTTTCCTCATTTAAATATTACAACTGTATTAACTGCGTAGTAAGTAAAAAGCCAGTAAGTAATCAACGTGGGGTTTTTTTGTATATAGGATTGTCTACATATCTTGCTCTGAAAATAAGTTCAGGTCCTTTTCCTTTCTGCCTGGACTATGAAATTACCCTTCTTAGGCTTTCTGCTTCCACTGCAAGTTCTTCCCCTTCTCAAAATACTCTAGACCAATCCTCAACAATCCTAGAGTTTCTCGTGTTATGCTAACTCTTCAAACTTTTCATGGTCTCTACTGCTAACAGACTTTGTATTTCTTAGCCTGGCACTCAAGGTTCTTCACAATCAGAACCCAAAGGTTCTCACCTCCCTGTTCCATCTAACACTTTAGACTTCTAGCTCCCCAAACCTATACTGTGTAGACTTCTGAGCCCTGGCTGCTGCGTTTTCCTTCCTGTCAAAATATTAGACCTGTTATCTGGCAGTGTGCAACAATTTTTTTTTAAATAAGCACATTTGACCAGGTAATAGCATTTCCAAGAAATTTAACAAAGTTCAAACTTTAGAATGTACACAAACATTTCGGCTTCAAGAGCTTTCTTTTAGAACAATGCAAACTGACAATAACCTAAACGCTCAGTAACAGGAAACTGGTTACACGAATTAGAGTACATCTCTAAAACAAAGCGTTATGCTGGTTGCAGTGGCTCACGCCTGTAATCCCAAAACTTTGGGAGGCTGAGGCAGGTGGATTGCTTTTAAGCCCAGGAGTTCGAGACCAGCCTGGGCAACATGGTGAGAGCTTGCCTCTACAAAAATTAATAACAACAAAACAAAGTGTTAAAATTAACACTAATTGCCCTGTTAAGTTTTTTTAAAATTCTTTTAAAGTTACTAAACAGTAAGGTCGTATAGTATCTAACTTTTCAAGTGTGTATGCAAAGAAACAAGTATGGAAGATAGACACCAAGATATTGACAATGGTTTTCTCTGGCAGGCTATTTTAATTCTCTTCCATTCGCTTTCTAGTTTCTAAAGCTAAAATATTTCTCTATGAAAACGTGTGAGTAAACAGAAACAAATTCATGCCTTTCTAGGCCCAATTTAAAACTATTTTCTCCGACCGAAATTTTCCCCTTCTCTCTCCTCGTTCCTACAGCGCAGGATGCCTCTCTCCTATGGCATTTACTAATTCCTAACCCGCCTAACACCACCCCCCATACACTATGGCAACGAAACCCCTGAGAGAAAAGCCGCTACGCTACACTTAGCTGCTCCAGCTACTGAGCCAAGACTAGGCGGACAGTGCAAGCCTTGTAACAAAGCCGAACAACCCCGATGACGTCATCCCACTCGCCGAAGTACATCACGTGGTCGCCGCAGCACATGACCCGTGCCTTCGCCGTAGGTAGGAGAATGACGCACGTCAGTTCCAGATCTTGCGTTTCACACCCCGCTTGGCAACGAAGACCTCTCCAGAGTGTGGCACTGCCAGTCTCTTGGAAGTTACCTGTCTCCAGAGCCGGCTTCACGCAGCCGCACGGGGTCGCTGTAGGCCGACGACCCGGCTCCTCCAAGCCGCGCATGGCTACTGGTTGCTGAGGTGCTTACCCGACGCATCCAACCTTCCGCTTCCGCGCACCATGCCTGACGCATGCGCAGTAGCCTCGCCGGCGGGGTCCCGCGAGGCCAGGAGAGTGCGCGCGCGCGCAGTGTGGCGCTGAGGGACGTTTGGAGGTCTCCATGGGGCGTCGAACCCCTATCCGGGGCGTGTTCCTCTCCGGGACCCCAATCTCGTTTATCTTAGACAGAGCTGCTGCAGTTGCCCGCCCTCCCAGGGCAGGCTGCGGCTCCGGGTTCCCGCGCTTTCTGAGAGGCAACACACCTCGATGAAGAACTCGCAACTATGTCTCTCTCGAAACATTATTAAGCAACCTACACGTCCAGTATGACCCTAATTTTTAAAGGATGTGTATATGTAATTACCACAGAGCGGAAGGACTGGACGTTAAGAAATGTTAAGAATTCTCCTCTAGCGCCTGTGGTCCCAGCTACCCCGGAGATTGAGGCGAGAGAATCGCTTGAGCCCAGGAGTTTGAGGCTGCACTCCAGCGTGGGTGACAGAGTGAGACCGTGTATCTAAAAAAAGAAAAAAAAATTCTCTTTGGGTGGTGGGAAAACAGATGTGATTATCCTTTTTATGCCTCAATTTTTCCATAACAGAAGTTATGCTTTGTCAGAAACAACCCCCAAATAAGTCTTATTTCAAGTGTGGCGAATATTATAAAGGAGCCCTACTATGTGCTAGGGGTTAAGGAGTGGGAACTGTTTCTTGTGCTCCACACCTTACCAGAACTGAAGTGAGAATGGAATTGTAAGAGTCAACATGCCATGTACATTGTGGGGATTATTGTCGTTTCTGGACAGCTCTGAGAAGCTAAGAGCTAACATGAATAATTTTTTAATCCAATGCAATGACCAGTTGTCCTTGCAATGATAGCCTATCTTTTACCCACTTGTAATGCTGTCTCTCACCTATAGCTAGTTTCTATGTACATAATTCTCTTTATGGGAGAAAATTTTTAATCTTTTATCTTTTTATCTGTTAACATCTGCAGTATAAAATATTCAAAAGCATATGAGTCCACAGATTGAAAAGCCTAACAACTATGAAAAGATGTTTCCATGTCTGTCCATTTCTCATTGATTTCTAGTAGAAAATAACCAGCAGTAGGAGCCAAATAATTAAAGATTGTGGTTTAAAAAATGAAATAAAACTGATCAAATGCATATAGTGTCTTTTGGCAGGTCATTTTTACATGACAACTTGGAAAAGGCTGCCATTTTTTTTTTTTTTAGGAGGAACAGTTCTGTGCAGCTGGAGAGAAACAAGTTTGAAAACCAGTGTGTGTGTATGTGTGTAAAATTGGGCCGGAATTACTGCACTTGCCACTAGATGGTGATGTTGCTGAAAATGATAGTCCCGCTTAATTTGTGGAAAGAGTAGACTTGGAGAGAGATACTTGCCCGCCTGGAGGGCATGGTAGATGTTGATAATCACACACAAAAAATATGTAATTATTAAATGTGACAAGTACTGAAATGCAAAGCTGATTTGAATATACTAGTGAAATAGATTGATACCTCTTTTAAAGGTAAAATGTCTCTTGACTGAAAACAGGAACTTAAATATGCAGCACATGTATTAGTCTATGATTTGAAGTTCTTATTATCTTGTCTGGAATTGTATGTGATTATTTGCAGTTTGTAAGACTTAACCTCTCCTCCAGAGGTAAGACCTAGAAATCTGCCTTAAAGAAATGACCTAAATAATTATGTGGTCTTCAGCTTGTACTTTGAGAAGCACTTCTCAGTAGAGTGATTCTTAACCTCTCATTTGGGTTAAGGACCCCTTTGAGAATCAATTAAAGCTTTGAACCATCTCACACATCATTTTGGATATAATATCATAGGGTTCATGGATTTCTAAGAACCTGAGAGGAGGGCAGCACAAAGTCAAGCTAGGATTCTTGCAAAAGTTTAATTCTATCACCTCAAGGTTCTAAGCCAAGAACGCCAGAAGAATTTTAGATGCATACTGATGTTTGAGCAAGAATGGTGAGAAGGCAGAAGTTGTGTGTGAATACAGGAGTGATTTAAGAGGGCAAGCAGAAAGGGTCCTGAGAGGTGGAGAGAGAAATTCTGCTTCCTCTAATGTACTGCATTCCTCTTTCCCTCTACTCCCCCATCTCATTTTTGTGCTGCTGTACACTGTACATATGCAAATCTCTTAAGGTCCATCTTAATGCAACACTCTTAGAACTTGAGACTTCAGTTTACTATTTTTTTTTTCCTCTAATTTTGGCCCACTCTGGCAGGTGAAATTGAGACAGAAGCACATTCCAAAGAAGAAACAAAAAGCACTGAGGAAGTCAGATGTGACTTTGGGTGAGTACCTTCCCTCTATGATGTTATTCCCTCATCTTTAAGTGGGGGTGATAATCACCGCCTGGCCTATTTCACATACTTTTGTACAGATCAGATAAAATAGTTTATGTGAAAGTATAAATCTTGAAGTGTCATTGAGAGGTAAGAAACTATTACATGGTTGTGGCTGGACGCAGTGGCTCACGCCTGTAATCCCAGCACTTTGGGAGGCCGAGGAGGGCGGATCACGAGGTCGGGAGACGGAGACCATCCTGGCTAACACGGTGAAACCCCGTCTACTAAAAATACAAAAACAAATTAGCCGAGCGTGGTGGCGGGCGCCTGTCGTCCCAGCTAGTCGGGAGGCTGAGGCAGGAGAATGGCGTGAACCCAGGAGGCGGAGCTTGCTGTGAGCCAAGATGGCGCCACTGCACTCCAACCTGGGCAAGAGAGCCAGACTCCATCTCAAAAAAATAAATAAATAAATAAACTATTTTGTGGTTGTGCTGCCCTCAGTATGTTGTGTAATAAATATAATGGGGGTATGAATCATTGTACAATGAATATATCCTGATGGTAAAAAATTTAACGTACACACAAAAGGGAGTAGGCAGATAGGAGGGAAACAATATTGTAACATCCCACTGTACCAGTGGTTCTGAACCCTAGCTCCACTTTAGAATTGTTGGGAGAGCTTTTAAAATAAAAAGCTCTGGATTGGACCCTGAAGCCAACAAAGGACATTAGTGGAAAAACTCATGAAAACGGAATGTCTGTAGTTAATGATAGTGTAACTATCCTGATTTCTTAGTTTTGACAAATGGGCCATGGTTATGTAAGACGTTAACATTGGTGTAAACTGGGAAAAAGGTATATAGTAACTTTTGTACTATCATGACAACTTTTCTGTAATTCTAAAATTATTCCTCCAAAAACTATTATTTGAAGCATAAAACAATTAAAAAATAAATATACCTATGCCTGTATGTCACCTAGATGGGGGAATCTGAATCCCTGGGGGAGAAGTCTGGACATATATATATTTTCGATACCTTCCCAGGCGAGTCTAATGTACCAGGAGAGTTGAGAGAACCACTGCTCTCTCATGTTCATTATACCATGAATGCCTGAGGGACTGGGACCCTGTCTTGTTCTTTGATGTAGCTAGCACCTAGCACAGTGCCTATATGGAAAGCTTGTGCAAGTGTGTTCTTGCTGAATGAACCTTTATTTGCAAAAATTTCCTTAGTCCTCTGTAATAACAGAAGGAAAACTGAAAACAAAAAATACCAGGGTAGATTTTCAGACATCTTCCCATCCAGAAGAGTTTCTATTCCTGCCCTGGTCTCTTGTCGTTTTCAGTTAATCTTTGCCATTATCACCATATTTATCATATTCCTAAAATACTAAAATTGCCATTCTGTTGTTCAAAAATCTTACTTCATTCCCTGTTATTTAACAAGTGATATATTTCTTGGTTAAGTATGCAAAATTCTCTGTGCTCTACTAATATGAGCTTTTTAGCATGCAAAGCCTACTGCTATTTCATATGGACTCTATATTAACTGTAGTTTGCCTGCAGTTTTGAACATGTTTTGAACTCACCGTTCTCTTTGTCACATACAATAATGCTGCTATCCACATCTATGCAAATCGTTTCCATCTTTCAAGGCTTCATGCCTGTGTAATTTTTTCAGGTCACTCCAGCAAAAAGTGAGCATTCTCTGTTTGTATCTACCATTCAAATGGCACCAGCACTTACTATTTTCTTTTGTAATTATTTGCTTTCTGTTTTATTTCCCCATGAAACCAAATTAACCCCACCGTGGGGTGTTAGATATGTCTTCTTACCTCCACAGTTCTTAACATGATGTCATCCACACAGTTAAGCATGTAATAATGATTTAATGTACATTTTGCACAAATACAATATTTTAAAAAGTAAAAATAGAAAATCAAATTTCAAATACAAAAGTAAACTACATTCATCACTCCAAAATATCTTTTAAGGAGAATTGTTAAAACTAACCAAAAGAGCCAACTAAAGCCTGAATAAAAATTTGATGCTACTGTTTCATTAGTAATGAACAGCATTTACAAGAAAACTATACACTCCCCAAAATGTAAGTGTTCAGTCTTAGTCACTTATCTGCTCTTAAGACTTAAATAAATGTTCTTAGAGGGGAAAACCAATTATCCAGTCCTCCCCGCTTCCTTATTTGTCTCTTCCCACCACTATCCTCTCCCAGACATATACACACATACACACACACATTCACACACACTCTAGCATAATATTGTTTATGTGGCAAAGCCTTAAAAAATGTTATTTCTTTCAGATATGGTCTACAAGTAGAAAAAATAATATTAATGAGCATTGTCAAAAGTTTTACAATATTTTGAGAAAATCACGCATAAACTGTTAAGCTCTATGTTCCATTGGACCCCAACTTTATGGTTGAGCATTGTTAAAACAAAACATAACTATAGACGTCATTTTCTGGGTGAATCTCGTTCAGAATTGCTGGTATTTCTGGCTCTTCTTTGGGTTTTTCTTTTGTTTCTGTAAAATCAAATAAAATGAAAAAATAGGTTCAATAAATTGTATTGGGACAATTAACTAACCATTTGGAGGGAGAAAAACTGCTTCACAACATACACAACAACAGACCACAGATGGAGTAAATATTTAAATATTTAAATACCATAAAGTTATAGAAATAATAGTGTTTTTAG